GAACGTGGGTCCTGTGCAGAGCACTTTCAACCACTGAGCCATCTCTCCAGACCCAGTGATGTGTATAGTTTTAAAACAACCTGTGTGATTATACACTGAGCCTTAAATGTTCTTTTTTTATTTTTAATGTGATCCATTAATTTTTAAAAAATTTATATTTATTTTATATGTATGAATGTTTTGCCCTCATGTATGTAAGTTCATCCATGTGTGCAGTACCCATGGAAGCCAGAAGTAGGTGTTGGGTCCCCTGGAACTGGAGGTATAGATGGTTGTCAGCCACCATGTGGGTGCTGGGAGCAGACCCCTGGTCTTCTCAAGAGCAGCCAGTGCTCTTAACTGCCGAGTCATCTCTTCGGGATGGTGATTGATTTTTTTTTTTTTTTTAATTGACTGCCTGGCAGTTACAATGGGAAAATCACCTGCCTTTTCCGGGCTTTCTTGGTATATTGGCCACTTTGTTATTACCCTGCCACATTTTATGTGAGCATTTAAAAAAATTTCATTTGTCCATGTGTGCAGATGGATGTGTGTGTGAGTGCAGGCATACATGTGTCACGGTGCACATGTGGAGGTGAGAGGACAACATTGAGCAGTGAGCTCTCACCATCCACAGTGTTTTGGTGGCGGCCTCCCTTGTTCCTGCTGCCCTACTGTGTGTTCCAGGTGAGCTGCCCCGTGAGCTTCTAAAGATTGTCTTGCCCCACCTCCATCTTTGTGTAGGAGCACTGGGATTACAAACACACGCTACAACAGCTTTATCCTCGGTTCCAAGGATCCAGGCTCATATCATCAGGTTATCATGGCAAGCACTCTTACCTACTGAGCCAGCATAGATTTTAAATATGAATTTGTTTATATTGAGTGACTATCTAAGGATAATTTTGGGGATATGATTATATGATATCTTTGTATAATTAATTCCTTTCATTTATCCAAATGAACTTTGTCAAATATAAAATTCTTACAATTTTCTCCCTTTTATTACTCCTTTTTAGGTATTTCTTTAAGGCATTTTCTCTTGTGGGAGAAACCCAGGAACGAGAGAGAGTATTGATTCACTTCTCCAATAGATATTTTTATTGTAATCCAGATATGATTGCTTCACAAGGTAATCT